CTGTTTGCAGGCTGGCCAAGCCCCCCAGCGGGGACCCTCACCCCATGAGGGTGTGGCCAGCCTGGGTGAGGGGCCGATGGCTATTTGCAGGCTGGCCACGGCCCTGGGAAACCCAAGCTCCCAGACCCTCCTTAAGCAGAGGCCACAGCGGCTAGAAGCAGGTATCTGGGATTTATTTATCTTCTATAATTGAAACTTTGTAGCCTTGAGCGGAGCCAGCCAGGTCAGGCAGGAAGCTTGGCTTCCTCCATCGCCAGGGGCAACCCAAGCCTCCTGTTTGCTCCAGCTCCTTGGCCACAGCCAACTTGGTTGGGTTTATTTGCATACTTGCTCCTGATTGGCTTGTGGGTGTGGCTTTGTGGGCGTGGCTTGTGAGTGTAGCAGAGGTGCGGTCAATTTGCATGTTTCTCTTTTATTAGATAAGATTAATTTTAGAGAGAGAGAGAGGAAGGGGATGAGAGAAACATCAATGAGAGAGAACCATCGATTGGCTGCCTCCTGCATGCTCCCTACTGGGGATTGAGCCCACAACCCTGGACATGTGCCCTGACCAGGAATCAAACCAGCAACCTCTTGGTGCATGGGACGACACTCAACCAACTGAGCTATACTAGTCAGGGTGAGGGTCACATTTTTCTAAATCTCCGTATACCAAGTAGGAATCTGAAGTAATGGCCCTTGTTTCTCATAAATAAGATGCATGCATGTGAATAAGCGCTGTCCCCTGAAAGCAGTCCCTCTTCACCCACTTTCAGCTGCCCATGTATCTCATATTGACACACTCATTTTTCTTTGTTGAGGATGCTTGTAGTTTTGTGAAAGAGTACTTGGAACCAAGAAAGTAAATAAAGTGGCTGATTGATGATGGGGTGACCCTGTTTGAAGATGAATGCAGGGAGTAAAGACATAAAACTGTTTCCCTTCTGTGGTTTTCAGAGAAGGTTTCAAAAACATTGTGAGAAAAGGCTGTATTGTTGTAATTAGTTTAAATGTTAAAAGGCTAAGTCTTTAAGTAGAACTGAGAACTGAAAGTCAAAGTTAGAGACAGAGCTCTAAGACAGTGACGAAAAACATGCACACAAACTGCTTTTCAAAGGGGAGTTGAGCAGGACAGGATTGGTGAGTATCAGAACCCATCACTGATGGCATGTCCTGCTTGCTTTTTTTGTTTAATCCTCGCCCGAGGATATTTTTTTCCATTGATTTTTAGAGAGAAGGGAAGGGGGGGGGGGGGGGGGGAGAAAGAAAAGGGAAGGAAGGAGGGAAGGGAAGGGAAGGGAAGGGAAGGAGTGAGGAGGGAGGGAAGGAAGGAAAGGAAAGGAAGGAAGGAAAGGAAGGAAAGGAAGGAAGGAGAAAGAAAGACACCCTGACCACCGGGCCTGGGGATCGAACCTGCAGCCCAGGTACATGCCCTTGACTGGGAATCAAACCCGAGACCCTTTAGTGCTCAGGCCAACACTCTACCCCTGAGCCACGTGGGACAGGGCACTGCTTGCTTGTTTTGTGTGGCAAGAGCCAAATTAGACTTGTGGTTGTCACACCCGTTTAGATACTTTCTAGGAGCTAGGAAACCCTCCACCCCCTTTTTTTTTTAATCTGGGCAGGTTTTTTTTTCCTTCCTAGGTGAAAGAAGCTGCTATTTATCTTCCATTATTTCCCCTCAACTCTTCTCTCCTGTCTCTTGGCTGTCCCTACAGGTGGAGCCAGATCAAGTTATTCTCTCTCACAGTCCCATGAAGCTTTTCTCACAATATCATGGAAAGCGGATGATAGTGTCTGGGCAGGGACCCCTGGTGGAAAATGCCCAAGTGTATCCTTTTGATGCTTCTCACTCTGGCTGAAGAGAAAGGGGCAGGACTGGGGACTTTTCTCCCATGGCTGAGGGGGCACCATCATGAGGCATGCTGGATGGAGGCCTCATCGGGTGTGTGGTGGGCTCTTGAGGGCGGGAGACAGCCCTCAGGTGTGGCCAGTCCTGGTGGCTGGTGGTTTCCAAAAGCCAGCCCACTGCATCATTACCTTCTGGGGAGCTGAAAATACAGATTCCTGGAGAGTCTGTGTCATTAGCTCTGAGATAAAAATCAACAGTCTTTATTTTAAAAAATTAAACTAAGTGATTCTGTAATTAGGTTTGAGAACCACTGCTCCAGGGCTGTTCTTCATGGTGCTCAATCAACTTATCTGCAATGTTAATTAAGTATCTACAATGAATTCATCTTTTGGGCGATGTGCATATTCAAAAGGCAGAGAAGATTGTCCTTGTTCTCAAGCAGCTTATTTATTTGCTCCTGCAGACCCTGTCCAGCACTTCCTTTGTGCCAGCACTGTGCTGTAGGGTCTAAGGCAGCCGTGGGCAAACTACGGCCCGCGGGCCGGATCCGGCCCGTTTGAAATGAATAAAACTAAAAAAAATAAATAAATAAAAAGACCATACCCTTTTATGTAATGATGTTTACTTTGAATTTATATTAGTTCACACAAACACTCCATCCATGCTTTTGTTCCGGCCCTCCGGTCCAGTTTAAGAACCCATTGTGGCCCTCGAGTCAAAAAGTTTGCCCACCCCTGGTCTAAGGGGAGTAGGGGCCAGGAGAAGCACTGTGGAATTGCAAATTAATTGAAGGGCTCATACTTGAAGCACCCTATACAATAAAGGAATATTTCAGATGGCATGGGATTAAAGACTTAAAAGAGCAGTATAGGTGGTTCTGGGTGTCACAGGTGTAGTTAGGGGGACAGGAACATCCTTCGAGCAGAAATTGCTTATGGCTTCATGGAGGGGCAAGGCTGTGCCACAGGAGAGGTTTCAGGTTTTCCATGCAGAAGCAGTAAGGAGGCTAGAAAGAGAAGGGATGGTGAGGATCCCTGAAGCAGAAGATTGTAATGGGACAGGGTGGGGAAATAAGGATAGGGAGGGTGGTATAGGAAACTGCAGAAGTAAATGCAGGAAGTAACTGAATTTATTATGAGGGCAGTGGGGAGTCTCCAGGCTTATTACTGATGGGGTGGTCTGATGGAAGCATCATTTTTGAAAAATTCATTTTGAGAATAACCTGAAATCATAGCCAGTTAAGGTTACAAGTGGGAATTAAAGACAGAAAAATGGAGACAGGTCTTGAAGAGCTAAAGCTGAGCTGGCTTACCTCTCCCATGGCCTCCCCATGCTGGTGGAATGCAATTCCTCTTAAAGCTTCAGCTCAAGCCTAACTTTTCTAAGCCAGCATTAGCCAACTGGTGGTCCGTGAGGTCCGAAAGGTTGGCAACCACTGGTTTAAGGAAACCTCTGGAGCAGCGGTCGCCAACCAGTGGTCTGTGGACCACTTGTGGTCCATGAAGTCCAAAAGGTTGGCGACTGCTGCTCTAGACCAAGCATGTCAAACACAAAGGCTAACACAGGCCAAATAAACAAGGTTTAAGTTTATGTTGGCCGAAAAAAAAAAAAAATTCAATTTTCATGGAAAAGTAGGTTTATTTCGATAGAGACATGCTGAATACAAAGGGCTGAAATAAATAAGTAATCATTAACATAAAATAATAGAACATTTTAATAAAAATTAATATTTTTTCTTGAACATTAACTTACCAGACACTGAATAACTGCACAAATTAATAAATGTAATGCAAAGAAACCTATTTTTCTTGTTCTTCGAAAGCAAAATATTGCCAAGACTAATGGCGTGGCAATTGCTAGTATTAGTGGAGAGAAATGGTGCGCCTGCGCGTAAGGTGTGTAAGGGAAATGAATGCAACATGATTATAGTAATCAGTCATTAGTGAACGTTGTAGTTCGTTATTAATAATTATGTATAACAGGATATTGTAAAAATTAAGTTATGAAATTCTTATTAAAACATTTCTTGCATACCGTTATATTGGCAAAAATATTCATTGTGGGCCATGAGTTTGACATGCTTGCTCTAGGCCTTTTGCCCAGCTACCCAGACCACTGAGTAGTCTCCTATTCTGAACTTCTTGGCATACAGTGGCAGCACTTCACAGAGTGCTCTCTGAGATGGACTTTGGGGAGGTGGTGAGCTCCTTGAGGACAGAGTTTCTTATATGCCTTGTGCCCTAGTATTGCCCAGTGTAGGATCTGGCACCTAAAATGTGTCCAGTCTGCAGTGGTATATTGCTTGGAGGGACACAGCCCCGCTCTGCCTATGCACTCATAGACTGCCTGTCAGTACTTTTAGGATTGGTGTTGGCCCTGCTGAGCTCATTGGTTCACTCCTGTCTGGGGATTGGGTAGACTAGTTTGATCAGGATTAGGATGGTTCCCCTTCCTTTAAAGATATTTTTCCCCCAGAACTGCCCAGCTTTGTTTCCCTGATCTTGGTCTAGACTGGGCTTCAAAAATGTGGTTACTGTGGATGAGCTGCGGATGGCCTTCCCTGTGCTTGACATGGTGGATCTCCAACGGCGGCCAAAGACCACGGTAATAAGAACATCTGGTGACTCTTGTTCCTTCATGGGCTCCTCTTGCAACCCTTCACCGTTAGAGCTACAGCTTGTCCATGTTTCACAAATTGCCTTCTTGGAGAAGCACATCTGGCCAAGGATTTGTCCCCCACATATCCAGAATGGCTCAGAGGAGCTATACACTCCAAAGGGCTTTCCTTTCTGCATTGTTTGTGATTAACTGAGAACGCTTTTATAGAGCCCCAGCATCTCCTCCAGTTGGTAGCTTTGTATTTTAGTAGCTGCCTTTCCCAGTATTGTCTGGGAGAATCGTTAACCTCTGTTAACAAATTCTTCACTGTTCTGCTTTATCCTGAGACAGTTTCCTTGTGAAAAGCAGCCAACTTATAAAAGTAACTGGCAGTTCTGAGTGTCTGCTGTGTTCTCTTTGGGTTCAGCTCATATTTATATTTTCTGATCAGTAGTCACAGAGCATCTTATTGATCCTCTATAGTTTGTGACTGCCCCTGACCCTCTTTTTTATGTCAACTCTATATATTTATATCATATAGCCTATATTATAAGTCTGACTACTATCAAAATGTGATGAAATGTGTTATAAACAGATAAGCTTACTTTTATTCATTTATATAGCTTCTCTCCTTCTCCCAGAGTGTTCCAATTAAAATAGAGTACTTTATTGCCTTTGAGAGCTTTTTTCTAGAACCATGCAAATTATGTGGAGAACCAGAATGACAGAGTTGGAAAAGATCTTAGAACAGCTCAGAGACTGAGTCTCAGGGGAAGAGACTTACTCCAGGTCATATAGCTGATTAGTGGCAGAGATAAGATTGTAATAGTCTGGAGAAGGAATGGAAGCGGTTGGTAATATGAAAGCTTCTGCCTCTTAATCCAACAGCAAGAGAAATGGTCCATCACACCCTGAAGGCCTCCTTTTTCTCCAAAGGCTCACCTTCCTCTAGACCAGTGGTTTTCAACCTTCCTAATGCCGCGACCCTTTAATACAGTTCCTCATGTTGTGGTGACCCCCAACCATAAAATTATTTTCGTTGCTACTTCATAACTGTAATTTTGCTACTATTAGGAATCATAATGTAAATATCTGATATGCAGGATGTATCTTCATTGTTACAAATTGAACATAATTAAAGTATAGTGATTAATCACAAAAACAATATGTAATTATATATGTGTTTTCCAATGGTCTTAGGCGACCCCTGTGAAAGGGTACGTTTGATCACCAAAGGGGTCTCGACCCACAGGTTGAGAACCGCTGCTCTAGACTCTTGCTTGGCCCATATCTTGCTTCCTGTCCTTGCAGGAGAAAACAGCTGATCAACCTTTCCTCCTAGCTGACCTTTACTAGTATATGTGGTATCCCTCAACCTGTTCTGTGACCAGCCTGGTTCTTCTCTCTTCACCTTTCTTCATGAATCTTCTTCCGCAGTCCTATTTGCTTCTCCTCAGCTTGGGCTACACCATGGGGTAGTCTTCAGTCCTGTCTGGAATGCGACTTTCCTCCCACCCACCCTTGGAAACCAGTGTGTGATTGTCCTGTAGTGGAAAGTAATCATTGCATTGATGGGCTTGTTCTTTGTCTCTTGGCAGCCCCTTCCAAGGAATGACTTCCCCGCTATTGAAGGTAATGAGGTCCTCTCCTTGTGTGGGCATGGGACTGGGTTGTTCTTTCTTCTTTCAGGCCCTCCAGATTATTGTAGCCAGGGGGCATTGAGCATTAGATCACCTGGGTTCTGGTGTTGGATCTTCCACTCACTACCTCTGAGATATTTGTTGTTAATCTTTCCTTCTTTATATCATTTGCCTTTTTATTCCAGAAGAATCATAAGCTTAGAAAATCTTAGAGTAGAAAGGCACCTAGGGGTAATTTAGTCCAGTGTTCCTTAGGCCCATTAAACCCAGTTTGCTCTTTGTATAACAAAAATATCGTAGTGTCCCCTTTACTAACTTAAAATGAAATTAATAGATAATATATCTTCCTATACACATGTTACAATTAATTAGTTTAATATAATTGTAATAGGGAGAAATAAAGGGAAAACATTTTAGTAAGGTAATATGTACTTCAATATGTAGTAATTTTCCAAAAAGACATAATGAAGTAGTAAAATGATTGAACCAAACATAGAATCACCATGAATGTTACAGCTACAAATGCAGATTGATATATGTTTATAGGTGTGATATAGGTGTGTTTTATTGGTGACTCAGAAATTAGGGACAGTATCATCATTGGTGAAGTGATTTTGTAAAATAGGGACTAAACTTGATAACATTTTGAAAAAAAGAAAAGTATAACCTTCTCTTGACTTATGTGATAGTTACATTTTTTTTGAAAAATCAGTGTTTATGAAAACTACCAAAAAAATACTTTATGTTTACATGGAATTAGGGTTTAGGTTCATTAATTATAAACAGGTTGTTCCCTACATGAATACCAGATGGGACACTCAAATGTTTATAGACATTGGCAGTTTTTGATTGAACAAGACTGTACTGAGCATCTAGCATCCCTGGCCCCCTCCCACAATCCTCACCACTAAGTATCAGTCATTTTAATGATTAAAATATATCCTCCAGCCTCCAGAACACCTCTCAGGGGGCAGTGGTTCAATTCACTGGTCTTGTAGCTGATATCACAACTTCCATTTGTTGAGTACCATGTGTCCAGCACAGGTTAAGTGCTTTATTTATTATATCTCATTTTTATTCTCATAACAATAGTAGGTGTTGTTATTGTAGTTGAAGAAGCTGAGGCTTAGAGAAGGTAAATAACTTGCCCACAATCAGGAAAGTTGGCACAGTCAACCTTGGAATTCAGGTCTCTATCACTCTGCATCCAGCTCTCCTAGTTGTTAGGTTTATTGGCTCCTGGGGCTCAGAGAGAAGTGGCTGAGAAAAGTGAGCATTTTGCCAAGTACCTATGGGTAGGGTGGTGGGGAGAATATCAGTTAGCAAGAGGAAGTGGGCCTGAGATTCACTGTTGTTTGTCTTGTTTTAAACTTCTGTGAACATGATGGACACAATAACAGTATGAGCCCTTAGGTCCTAAGGCTTAGGAGGTGCCTTCCCGGTCCCTGGGTTTTGTTCACCTTGGGTAAATAGGTGAGTGGCTCTTTCAAGGCTATTCAGGGAACCATGCCCTTGCCAAGGTGAGTGTACTGTAGGGGAAGAGCTTGTGATTGGGTGGCCTCAGCTGGTCTTCTGAGGGCCTTCCTCCCGCCCGCCACAAAGGGCAGGCTAAGTGCCCTGCACCCTTACCCCTATGCCTTTGCTCTTTAAAGGAGTACTCCTCCTTGGGGAGCCAGTACGCTGGGAGACAAGCCTGCAGCTGATCATGGATGTCCTTCTCAGCAATGGGAACCCTGGGACAGGTCTGGCGACGGCCCCTTATCCCCATCTCCCTGTCCTGGCCAGTAACATGGATCTTCTTTGGATGGCTGAAGCCAAGATGCCCAGGTGAGGACATAGTCCCTGGCCTTGACCCTGGTGGCCCATTTCCAGCTATTGCCTGAGCAGTCCTACTGACAGTTTCCCACCGCCATTTGATACTGCAGCTTACTGAACACTGAAGTATTGAGATGATTTTTAATAAATAATCCTTGCCCTTCAGAATCTTAACAGAACAAGTTCTTTTTGATTAGAGGAACCCAAATGGTCAGTTTCTGAGGTATATCAATGCAAATTATTCAACTGCTCTTCCTTCTTTGCCTTCACCCTGTAGCATTGATTATTTCAATTCTTTGTTTCCCTTTGCCCTTAAAACATAGGAGCAGGGAAAAGAAATAATTGTTCTGATGTTTGTATATATCAGAGAACAGACCCAGTGGATAAGTGACTTTCTCAAAGGCATGCGGGTAGTGAACAGGCTTACACACTCCCTGCGCAGTTGTGTAGAGCTCACCTGTTCTGTCCTTTTCTGAGTTTGAGCATAGTATAGGCATCCCTTTTTCTGGCCCTGGAGGTGCCTTTACTGGAAGGGCAGCTGATGGCTGCTGTGTACTGTTTGGCTGCTCTTATTTGCAAGGCCCAAGTCTAGAGCAAGCATGTCAAACTCAAAGGCTAACACAAGCCAAATAAACAAGGTTTAAGTTTATGTGGGTCACAAAAAACAAAAGCTTCAATTTTCATAGAAACATAGGTTTATTTCGATAGAGACATGCTGAATACAAAGGGCTGAAATAAATGAGTAATCGTTAACATAAAATAATAGAACATTTTAATAAAAATATTTTTTCTTGAACATTAACTTACCAGCAGACACTGAAGTGCACAAACTAATAAGCGTAATGCAAATAAACCTATTTTTCTTGTTCTCCAAAAGCGAAATATTTCCTGTTGCACACAGCAAACAAGTCAGTCCAAGGCTAATGGCATGACAATCGGCTGCTAAAATATTCGCTGCTAGTATTAGTGGAGAGAAATGGTGTGCCTGCGTGTAAGGCGTGTAAGGGAAATGAATGCAACACGATTATAGTAATCAGTCATAAGCGAACGTTGTAGTTTGTTATTAATAACTAGTGGCCCAGTGCGCAAATTTGTGCACATTGAAAGGAAATTAATTAGAAGAAATATTTTAATATCGCTATTTGCCCTTTCTCTATAATAGAAGTGTCAACCAGATTCATGATCGACAATGACAGAGGAAACACATGCATGAGATTGGCGCCAGCGAGAGCTTTATATATATAGATAAACTTGTTTAATTAGACCTGCTTTCTGATGTAGCTTAACTTTTCCAGCCCAGTGAAGCACCCCAATTTCTCTTTCAATTGTCAGCAACACAGCAATAAATATCAACACGAAGCAGATTATTATTGTAGATCACACAGGGAGAACAAAGGGTAAAATATTATATTCTGCGCAGTGAGAAAACCTTAAGTCATTTTCAAGGTCCACCATTTCTTCTTTTCAGTTGGGTCAAGTTTGTAAATCTCCGTTTTCCAGCTAATAAAAAGAAAATAGGATTCCATCGTGTCTCCTATCTACCTAATACAGGACTTCTGTGAGGATCAAATAAGATGAGGCACAGAAAAACACTTCACAGACATTTGATTCAAGTGTAAAATGTTTGCACCTGGCTATAAAGCAAGTCGTGTTCCTGGGCTGAAGAAACTCCAAGGAGGCTAGTTGTCACTAGGGAGAGGAAGCCAGGCATTGATTGCTATGTGACGTCATTACCCAGATGGACACTTAGCATATTAGGCCCGATGCACAAAATTTGTGCAAGAGTAGGCCTTCCTTCCTCCGGCTGCCGGCACCGGCTTCCCTCCAGCACCCGGGACCTGGGCTTCCCTACGGCCACTGGCACCCGGGACCTGGGCTTCCCTCACAGAGGGAGGCCCCACCCACCTGCCACAGCCTGCATTGGTGGCCTGGGCCTCCCTCTGCAGGGCGATCATGGGGCGATGGCAAGGCCCCCTACCAGTTGCATCGCACCCGCCTTGGCTGGCTTGGCACCAGTGGATGTCATAGCATGGTCCAGGATGGTCATCCCGATGGTCGTTCTGCTGTTCGGCCATTCGGTCGATTTGCATATTATGCTTTTATTATATAGGATGGCCTGTCGCTAGGGAGAGGAAGCCGGGCATTGCTATGTGATGTCATTACCCAATGCCCACAGCCACCATTTCTGGGCTGGGCTGGGCTTGCACCATGGGGTCTCGGCAGCATCAGCTGCAATTTGGTGGGCTGTTGCTCTGGGTTGGTGGCGGGGCCTGTGTCCCACTTGGGGGAGGCTGAGTGTTGCTCTGTCAGCGCCAGGTCCACGTTGCTCTTTCTCTGTAAATGGCAAGTGTGCATCACGGCAGCTCCTGCATTGAGCGTCTGCCCCCTGGTGGTCAATACACGTCATAGTGACTGGTCGGACAGTTGGAGGGACACTTAGTGTATTAGCCTTTATATATATAGATTGTGTATAACAGGATATTGTAAAAATTAAGTTATGAAATTTTTATTAAAATGTTTCTTGCATACCATTATATTGGCTAGGCCACAAGAATATTTGTTGTGGGCCGCATGGGGCCCATGGGCCCCAAGTTTGACATGCTTGGTCTAGAGTTTTCTCCCTTCCCCATGACTTCCAGTAAGCTGGGTGTGTGATCCATCAATAGGGCAGCAGGGCCCAACACTGCCTCAAGTCAATAGCCCATAAGAGATGGGCCACTCAATAGCCCATAAGAGATGGAGATTACAGTGTTCTCTCTTGTTATGTTTTAAGTATTTTCCTATAGCTTGAGGTTAGGTATTTTTTCTGAGTTATTCTTCCAAAATTAGGGTATGCTGACACTAGCTGAAGGGGGTTTGGTTATATAGGCTGTGAACTGAATAGTAAGGGGAAGATTTCAATTTACAAACCAGATTTGAGGTTAATCTTTCATTCAGTAATTTGAAAATGTAATTTATTACATAAATAAATGACACAAATATAACTTCAGTATATTGTGCAGCATCAGTTCAGATTTGGTTTAGTGGCAAGGGATTAAACTCCAAAACAAAAGTATCTTTAAAAAGATAAAAGTTTCTTTCTCATGTGAAATAAGTCTGGGGTAGGCTGTCCAAGTCTTGTATGGAAGCTCCACCTGTCAGGAACAGAAGCACCTCTGTCTTCCTGCTGTGCAATCCTTAGCCCTTTACTACATAATCCCAAATGGCTGCCTGAACTTCAGCTATCATATCAGCATTCCAGGCAGAGAGGAGCAGGGGAAGGTAGAGAAGAGCATCACCTCCCCAATTTAAGGATACTTCCTAGAAGTTTAGCCCAGCACTTCTAATTTCATTGACTCTTTGGTTATAGTGCAGCCACATGGCCACACACCCTGTTGCAGAGGAGGAAGGGAATATAGTTTTTGCACCTGGTAGCACTATGCTCAGTGAAAATTGGCACCAAGAAAGAAGGGGAGAACGGCAACCAGTAGTCTGCCACAATTCTAAAGCAAAAATTAAACTTTCTGGAATACTTACACCTGGGGTATAATCCTAGTGCTACCACCTTGGGCAAGTTACTTAATTTCTTTATGCCTCAGTTTCCTCACTTGTAAAATGAGAACAATGATCTCATAGGGTTTTTCTGAGAATTAAATGTGATTTGTATCTCCAGTGTTAGAACAGTGCTCAATAAATGTTATTAGATAACAGCAGGTCATAAATGTAGGCAATAAATGTAATTCTTACTAGAAGTAATTTCATTTTGACCTGTTACCACTGGGGGAGTGAAAGGGTACTGCTCAGAGAATGGCAATTGGCCTGGAGAGCCCAGGGAGTGAAGACTGAGCTGCTGGGCTGTCTTCTCTGGCAGGTTTGGCCATGGCACGTTTCTGCTGTGCCTGGAAACCATTTACCGCAAAGTGACAGGCAAAGAGCTGAGATACAAGGGCCTGATGGGCAAACCCAGCATCCTCACTTATCAGTATGCAGAAGAACTGATCAGGCGGCAAGCGGAGAGGCGGGGTTGGGCTGCCCCCATCCAGAAGCTCTATGCTGTAGGGTAAGTTCTATCCATCTCCTCAACTTTCCCTTCCCCTCTCATTCACCTTGTTTCCCTATGTTTAATGCACACTCCTTGCCCCACAGTTGTCCTCTGCTCTCTGCACCTTACAACACTGAACTTCAGTTTTCTCCTCTTTTCTTTTCCGGTATGGTTGCCCCTACCAGTGATAATCCTATGTCTGATGTCTACGGTGCCAACCTGTTCAACCAGTACCTGCAGATGGCGAAGCATGAGGGGGCAGAGGAGCTGGAGACGAGTGGTCTGTTGAAGCAGCGACCCTCAGCAACCCAGAGCTGTGCCTCCATCCTGGTGTGCACTGGTGTATACAGTCCCAAGGTCCTGGGGTCCACAGAGCCTGCTCAGGGAGGAGAGGAGCCTCCCTTCCATGGGCACCGGGACTTCAGTTTTAGTCCAGGGCTTATAGAGGCATCCCACATTGTGAATGATGTGGATGAGGCTGTGCAGCTGGTTTTCCACAAAGAGGGTTGGGCTTTGGAGTGAGGACTGTGTGTTCCAGGCAGGGTGACAGAGGGTATCTTGGAGCTGTGGGTGAGTCCCATTTACTGGTTTCTGGCCTGGATCACAGGGCAGGGCATCATGTCAGGGCCTGCTCCCCATGACATTCTTCCTGCTACCCCACAGATGTGACACTAGTGATTACTTGGAAGAAGACACTGGCTTTTTCTCCTGCTGAGCAGTAGCCATAGAATTGTACCCTGGGTAGCATTATGGGTAGAACTGTGAGGATTTTCTCAGTCCAATTCCTGTCTGTTTCTCCTGGCAGTCTGACCTCAGCCCAGTCCCTTTACCTCTGTGCCTTGGTGTCCTCATTTCATTAGGCTCTTCTGGGAAAAGGGGAGGTAATATGTAATAACATGGAAATTTCTACAGGATCTTTGCCTGCATTAAGGGAACCATTGCATGCCAGCAAGGTGTCTAACACTCAGATACTACTTTTTATTGTATTTCAGCTTATCGCTCAGAGACTTTTGAACTTATTTTTTAAATTAAAATGATAATAAATATTCATCATGCTATCTCTTGTGAAGCTCTATCTGGAATGTACTTAAAAGTCATGTCGGGGAAGGCTAGTGGGTGAGTGGTGTGGGTGACCTTCAGGCAAAGAGATTGGTGGCATTTCACTCCCAGAAGGAGTTGATGTCTCCTTTTCCACCTTTACTCCCTCTGACCTTGTCTGGGCTGTGAAGCAAGTCTATTTAGGAATGAGTTATGCCCAGGCTTTGGCATATACTTAGCAACTTCCCTGATATGGAAAAGAAAAAGGATCTTGCCTATGGTTTGTTCTAAAGGAAGGAGCTTTTCCTACAATGATTCTAGAGCAGCAGTTCTCAACCTGTGGGTCGCGACCCCTTTGGTGATCAAACGACCCTTTCACAGGGGTCGCCTAAGACCATCGGAAAACACATATATAATTACATATTGTTTTTGTGATTAATCACTATGCTGTAATTATGTTCAATTTGTAACAATGAAAATACATCCTGCATAGAGAATATGTGTTTTCTTTATTCCTCCTTCTAGGACAGTGATGGTGAACCTTTTGAGCTCGGCATGTCAGCATTTTGAAAAACCCTAACTTAACTCTGGTGCCGTGTCACATATAGACATTTTTTGATATTTGCAACCACAGTAAAACAAAGACTTATATTTTTGATATTTATTTTTTTATTTAAATGCCATTTAACAAAGAAAAATCAACCAAAAAAATGAGTTTGCGTGTCACCTCTGACACGCGTGTCATAGGTTCGCCATCACTGCTCTAGGAGTAATCCAGTTCCATTTTTTCATGGTCTTTGTCACCCATGACCTTGCATTTGCCAAATCCCCATATCATTTCTTGCCCTCATCTTTGTACAGCTATCCTTTGTTGTGACACAAGCTGATTACTCCTTCCCCTTTTCTCAAAACACTCTGTACTTGGCTATGTCTGACTGACTTCTTGATACCTCTGTTTACATACCTGGCAGTCATTTAAAGTAGAGGGAGCAAAGGAGGTTGAGAAGTGGCCAGTGAAATAGGAGGGAACTTGAGAGCTGGTGTCTTGGAGGCTGAATGCAGAACATATTTCATGAAGGAGGTAGTGATGAACTGTGCTCATTCTGTATCAGAGCTTAACCCTGTTCAAAACCAAACACAGCCTGATCCTACCCTAGCACCCCAAATAATCTGGGTCCTGCTGCAGTCCTCCCCACTTCAGACAATAGCAGCTCCTTCCTTGTTGTTTAACTGAAAGCTTGGACTCATCCTTGTCTTCTCTTTCTCTCCCATTTCCCATGTCTAGTCTATCAGCAAGTCTTGTCAGCTTTGCCTTTAGAATAGATCCAGTGTGTGAGCACTTTCCAACTTTCAGCACCACCCTGGTTCAGGCTGCTGGCTTCCCTTGTTTGGATTGTTGCTGCAACCTCTTATTTGGCCTACCTGTCTCACCCCTACCCTCTCTCCTCACTGTTTTCCACTCATTGGCCCAGAAGTCAAATCATAAGTTTGATCTATTCTGTGATCAGAACACTCCTGTGACTTCTTATCTCATTCAGAGTAAAAGCCTAAATTCCTAACCACAGCACAAATCCCATTCTTACCACTTTCCCTTCGATCATTTCATATCAGCCACACTGGCTACTTGCTGGTCCACCATACACAATCCTGCCTCTGGGGCTCTGCACTTGCTGTTCCCTCTGCCTCATTTCCAATATCCACAAGGCTCACTCCATCCACATTCTCCTCCCCCCACCCCCACCCCCATCATTTAACTTTCTGTTAAAAAGTCCTCTTTTCTTACCTAATTTTCCCTATACCTTATCACCCCATGACTTATATTCAGTCTTTATTCTGTGTCTTCTAAAATATAAGCTCAATGGGCTTTGTTCATATTGTTTCACTCTTGTATACCCACACCTACATGCTTGGCAGTTGGTAGGGTTACAGACCCTGTAAATCCTCCTATAGGGTTTTTAGAGACAAACATGGCTTTCTTTTCTTTCTTCTCCCTTGGGGAGTATGGGAAAAGTAAAAGACTATGGGTCTTAGAAGCAGACAGGCATGGAATCAAATCCCAGGCAGGTCTGTCACTCATTAGCCAGATGGCTTTGGGCAATTTCCTTCACTTCTCCAAGCTTCCATTCTCTCATCTGTAAAATTGGCAATGTGTATTTCATAAATGAGCTATTTTAAGTACAGTACTGTGTCATTTAGGATTTTGTTCAGCTGCTTGTTACAGAAATATGACTACAGTGGTTTGAACAAATAGATGATTATTTTTCTAAACAACAGGAAGTTCAGAGATAGGCATTTCAGGGGTTTCATCAAGGACTCAGATGCTTGCCCACCATCCTTAGCGTTTATGTTTGTCCAGTTGCAAGATGTATTGGTGGTATACTTTCAGGCCTCTCACCATATTCGAAGGAGGAGGAAAGGGCAAAGATCTTTTATTTTTTAAATATGTGTTTATTGATTTCAGAGAGGAAAGGAGAGGGATAGAAAGATAGAAACATCAATGATGAGGGAGAATCATTGATCAGCTGCCTCCTGCACGCCCCCTGTGGGGATCGAGCTTGCAATCCAGGAATGTGCCCTGACTGGGAATCGAACTATGACCTCATGAGGTTCATAGGTCAACACTCAGAGCACACTGGCCAGGCAGATCTTTTAAAGAACTTTCCCAGAAGTTCCACCTTTGAATTTGCAGTTCTATGTGATTGACTCCAGCTGGGTCACACAGGCACCACAGCTGTAAGGAGGCAGTGGTGGGGTACATTATTGCTCAAACAAAATCAGAGTCTGTTTGTAAGGAATGCTTGTGGAATGGATATTGGGTAGGCAACTTGCAATACAACTCCAATGCCCAGGACCCAGAAGGCATTTAACTGTGATCATTTCTTCAAGAGCTCTAAGGAAATGGGTAAAGCCCTGACCTCTGGTACTTTGTCTGTTATCTGAGCCACTGGGTTGGGTAATAATCTTGCCAGCTTATATTTGCTTATTAGGTAACCTTTTCCAAAGCATTTTAAAACAGACATCTGTCCATTCTTTGTTAGAGCCTCACAAAACCCCTAATGGAGAGAGACAAATCTTATCTATCCATTTTTATAAATGAGGACATCAAGGTAGAGATCATTCATTTTAGAAACATTTAGTGAAGATCTGTGTGCCAAGCACCATTCTAGGCACCATAGTAGTGACCAGTCATTGGTAACAATGCCTGCCCTCATGGAGTTCACCTTTTAGTCATCCAAAGTTAGTAAATGAAGGGGCTGGGTGTGAAATTGGGTCTCCTAACTCTTATCCCAGGGTTCTCCCTGAGATACACACCAAAGACCCTCTCATCCTTAGCCAGTCTACTGCCCTTCCTCCAAGCATCGCTTTATGTCCTGGAGCAGCTGCTGTTGTGGAAAGAGACCAGGTAAGATCTCTGTGGGCCAAAGAGGTTGAAGTTACCAAATGGGACAACAAGCGAGTGCACAGTAAGGTGGCTACTTGAGGAGAAGTCTTGCAGAGTTGAGAACCCTTAGGTCCAGATTGAAGTGACGGAAGATAGCATCTCTCTCTGTCTGCCTTGGGTTCTGTGTCTTTGGCTAAGCAGTTGTTTTGACTCTGTGTCCATCTCTCTCTCTTTCTTGTTTGAGTTTCCTAAAGATAATGATGAGGAAAATAAGACTTTTTTTTGGGGGGGGGGGGGGGCCTAGCAGCCTGACTCTGTACCTAGTTAATCAGTATCCCTAATGCACATTCTTGTTGGCCTATAATCATGTCATTGCCCCTTCCTTAATTATCTGGTCTTGCAAGATCTGTTTACCTAAATACATTTTACAGAGGCCATACACCATGAATAATATTCAACCCCCGGTGAGGGGAGTTATCAGCGCTGGCACCAGGCCAGGCCTTTAGGTGTGGTCTCACATCCCCCATCCCAACACATGGGGCTTTTTGCAAAGCCTGCAAAAGGTCCGGAAGTATGATTCATATATGGGGGACAAAGAAACCAAAGGGTATAAAGAGAAAGCTTCCTCCATATTGGCTTGCTCAGGATTTGGAAACAGGCTCTCCTGACTCACGGTACTAGTACATCTGGAAATAAATGGGTTTTTCTTGTATCTCCAAGTATTCCTGTGTGTATTTTCCGGTCGAGTGGTAAATTTTGATACAACAACAGAAGATCTTTCAAATCCATGTCAGAAAGCAAGCCAGCCCTTCAGCTCCAATGCAGTCTTGTTGTCTATTAGGGGCTTTGTCTGAACTTGTAGAATCAAGACTCACAACCATTTCATTAGCTTAGCCTGAAACTTAATGCAAATGTTACCTTTCTGTATTTTGATGGAGCCAAATCAGTACCCAAAAAAAACCTGGACTTTGTAAGTCAATTTGACCAGGAGGTAAGCTCATATTTATAATAAAATTATTAACCTGGAACAAAACTATACCATCAGGCAGTCACATTGAACAGAGAGAATCACCTTGATTTCTCTAGTTAGTAATTGCCTTGGATTCAGAACAGGGGCACTTCCTTGCTATTCACCTTTGTGGGAGCAGCTTCTGGCCTCCTGAGGGCCCCTCTTGGGTTCCCAAGGCAGGTACAGTGAACAAACCTGTAATCTGGATTCCCAGCAGAACTAGGGTTGCTATAGCAACTGGATCCTGCCTTGAGGGTGGAATTTTAAAATATCTCAGTTGTAATAGTTATTTTTTCTCCCAGTCACTCTGTCATTTCTCCAGTGCTGTGTGATTGCTGCTGAGGTTGGGCAATGCTGGTGATAGGGGCAGAAATAGAATGTTGGGGAACCAGCTAGAATTGTAAGAAATATTAATCATGCTCTGTTAACTGTGATTGTTTTATTCTGATTAAAGAAGGCACATTCTAACCTTGCCAGCAGCTGCACTCAGGACCTGGGAGCTCACCTGGAAATGCAGCCCATCCTCCTCATCAGGGAGCTGCCTATTATGGAAAGATTAACAACTTTGCTGCAGAAACCAGAATTAGCAGCCTTTTGAAGATCCTCACTAAGCCCTTTGAAGACCCCAGCCCCTTTTGCA